GTGCATTTTAGTTTTTCTGAGTTATGAGCAGAAATACTCAACACTGAACGTTGTGCTGTATATGAAACTGAAGCTATTGAAAAACGCTATTTGGTGTAGAAATTTCAAGACTTTAGCTAAAAGGGAAATATTTAAAAACTACAAAAATAATTGCCGATAATTTGCCATTTTTTCGCCGAATGGCAGTTGTTTTTGTATTTTTTAAATATTTTTCTTTTCGCCGAAGTCTTGAAATTTCCACATCGAATAGCAATTTTCAATAGCTTCAGTTTGATATATAGCCCAACGATTGGAATCAAGTATTTCTGCTCATAACTCAGAAAAACTATTTTGGCTTCATCAAATCATAGGCCTTCATCATAGCAGTTAGCCTTCCAGTTTATTTATAGTTCAATGTTTTATACAATGATCATTGACAATGGAGCTTATAGTCCAGCATCGCGGATGATTTGCGATGTACAAAAACCAGGCTTAAATTAAGTCAGTTTAATACTGTCAACAACTTACAATTTAAAACAATGGGATAATTTTGGATAATTTTGAAGAATAGTTTTTAAATCAGATCTTCATGTTCTACTAAATGTGATTCTTAGCAGTCAAAAGAACACCTGTATAAAACTGCACTTATAAAACCTGTGATAAAACTGAAGAGCAAACAGCATGGTTGACGTCACTAACATAATCGCTGACGTTATTGTTAAAATCGGCTTAAAATACTAAATATTTCGCAAGATTTGTAATAACGTGTTTGCTTGTGGATGTATGTGCAGGGATGTGCAGGGACTGTTGAACGAATATGTTATAGCAAAATTTCAGCTTTAGTTGCTTGTACTAAAGACAAAATAGTGGAGTTTTAACATTTTTTGCCCGTCCACATTCAAAAATACATGTCCAGTAGACGGGCTTCTGGCTATGGCCTATGGGAACAACTATTTTTGACCAGAAATAAGAACCAGTTAAGAACCAACTCAGCCTTATTTCTCACTATTACTCATTACATAAGAACCACTTCACCCTGGCATAAAAAATAGTGGTTCTTTATTAATGCGGGCTATTATTACTGGAACTCAATCTACCAGTTTTTTAGCATTCTGTCTTTCGTACAAGTAAACTAGCATCGTCTCAAATTGCTAATCAAAGTTGAATTTATAGAGATGGCCAAGGCTACACAGGCGTTGCCATGGCAGCAGATATTGGACTACGCGTGTACAACGAGAGTGATAAGAAATCGATGGTGAATGTGTTTGATTGTGTTAACAAAATGAGAGGTGATAGAAACGGCATCGTTTCATCCAAAGATCTCTACAAATACATATTCAAAGTAAGTCGTATATAGTCTGTATATGTGTATAGTTTTTACTAGTTCAATCTTATGGGTAAATTGCAACCAATTTCTTGGAAACTTAAGGCTGCCTTTCCTGTGAAGCGTTTTCATATACGCACAGAACATTTGGTGGTCTTCCACCGTGGAAACATTATGCTTTGCCGACACAGAATAACCCACACAGAACAATATAATTGAAAAGTGGAACAATAGAATAAACCAATCAATCGCATACCTTTATTTGCAAATCAAAATCTGTCTTATGTTTTTTTTAGGTGTTGAAGAATATTACAGACAGTGCGTCAACAGTAAGTGAATTTAGTAATCGCGGAACTATTTGCATATTATACACTCAATAAATTATCAATTTATATACCACCGCTTTACTCAGTGAATAACGTGTATTCTATAACGTGTTCTCTATTTTAGTCAGACTCCAAACTCTGATGAGAAATCAATATGAAGATTACATATGGCTACAGAATACCGTGATCATGAAAGATTATAGCTTTTCATGCTCTTGAAACGAACTGATCCTTCTGCTGAAAGTGTCGTAGAGTTATAAAGGATCCACTTAATTAACGTGGGGTATTTTTTATATAGATTGCACGTCGAGCTCTTATCGTACAATTTATATATAAATCATCCGACATTTGTGCTACTATTTATTAAATTATTGTGCAATGTACATGATTTTAAATAGATTGTACAACGTATCGATCATGCAATGTAATGGTCAAAGTGGATTATTGGTTCAATTTATGATTGGTAAATCTACATTTTTTCGATGATTAGTTTGTAATGCATATACCATATATAGCATTACAAAACAAACGTATTAATTTGTTTTGAGGAAACGGTTTAATTTTCTCTTATATAAAGGATTAGTGTCAGGACTTTCTTATGTCTGTCATGTATACAGGTGACTCATGTGTGAATTGTCTCTCATGCATAATATTTTCATGTGTATTATTAATAAGATATTAATAGTATGGTTTCTTGTCCAATTTAAAACAGTCTTTGAAAAACTCACCAGTCCATGGCTTTTTTTCCAAATGGCAAATTACACTGCAAACTATACTACATTCTACAGTTGAGTTTTTTGTAGGATTGCATGGCGATAAAACGTATATATATATATATATATACAGTCAAACCTGTATTAAGCGGCACCGTATTAAGCGGTCACCCTTCGTTAAAAGCGGTCATGTGGCAAAGTCCGGAAAATTTCATAATACAAATACTATTTGCCTTTATTGAACGGTCACCTCTATTAAGCGGACGAGGTCACTTTTTCCACGGTCCCAAACTTAATTTTTCATTGTTTTGAAACTCTATTAAACGGTCAGTGCATGGAAAGGAACTAGAGCAAACCACAGTTAATAGAAATAGGATTACTGTGAGCAAACATAATACAATATATAATTAAATCTTTATTTGGCAACATGTCAAAGTCTTTATCTCATTTAATACTCGAACAACAGTAATCACTGAAGGTGTCAACAGTATATTCAGTTTGTGCAGTAGTGATTTTCTACAAGACCTGTATTAAGCGGTCAACCTGTATTGAGCGGTAACTTGCGAAATCGCCGAGGGTGACTGCTTAATACAGGTTCGACTGCAATATTTTTTTAAACAAAATTATCATGCATATACTACTATTACCTATAAAAATGTACCAAACAAAATTTTTTATTGTTACTTTTGGTTTCTTGATTACTTTCACAAAACAATATAAAAAAGCCTGACATTAATCCTTTAGCTCCAACGGTCAAAAAATTTGTCGAAAATTTACTAATGATTATTCCCTTAACTCAGGTCTTTGTATCACGATTTACTTTCTTTTAGAGATCAGTGGGTGCATAGCTGTTAGATGTACACTATACCTGATCATAGAAAGAGTTGTAAAAATTAGTATATTTTGTACCCACAGCTTTCTAGTAAAACATCATAAGGTGGAAACTGTAATAAGGTATTAGTTTAGCATTATTGAGAGTGTAATATTAGTGAATTTCGAATCTACAGTGTGTATAAAAAAAAAACTGAACCCTTTCAAATTCAAATTAGCTATAACGTATTGTAGTAATTTGACAGCTCTAATTGCTTTAAATTAATGGTTGGATAGAACACTAGGTCTTGTACTCATGGAACAAAACTCAAAGAAATAAAAATTAGAAAATTTAAAAGAAATACAGTATTCCTTGTGTTCTTACCCAACCATTAATTCAAGGCAATTAGAGATGTCAAATTACTACAATACGTTATAGCTAATTTGAATTTGAAAGGGTTCAGTTTTTTTTTATACACCCTGTATTTTGATTCATCTTCAGTAGTATCTTTACGTAATATTAGTAATTATTCAATAAACTTAATTTCTATTATGTTGTGTTCCATTATGAAGATCGCGTGAAACTTAAACGAAAAATACGTTTAACAGTGAATTATCAAGAATTATAATTCCTTTTGCTTTCATTTTTTCACTTTTAAGAATCGGTGTCGTATTACATGTCCTTCACTGCACATGTGATTCAGGTTTGAATACGCAAAGTTCCGTTAAAAGCTTTATCGAGTGATTCTTTACTCAGACTTTTAAGATCGGCGAAAACTATTACGGGTGAGTAAACCTTTCAATATTTACCTTTTATTAAATATTGGGATTACATTGTAAAACTTTGCAGCCTAATAAATCTAGTTGAAGGCCGAGTTTCTGGACATTGTACATGGACATCTCATTATGTACTCATGACCCCGATCAAACAGGAATGAGAGTTGAATCAGTTAATGCATGAGAGTCGGCAGTCACATATTGTTACAGGGGACATTTCAAGCTCTAGATTAACAAACTAAAGGTTTGATGAATGTTCCAACTATACGTTTTAACTTAAATAACATACATATGTCATATAATAGTGTTGGGAAAGAATTAATGTCGCATGATTACCAACTCTAATCACTCTCATTATCGTTTGATCCGCGCTTTACTTAGTAGACGTTTACTGTTCGTTAGATGACTCAATGTTTTATAGTCTTATTATCCATTCCATTAAATTCACCCTCACAGAATATTTTTACATTCCCCATCAGGATAGCAGCGAGGAGACACAAAAGCAAAGTGGTTTTGAAGTGCCTTGACAACTGAAATTTTGCAGAGATACTATAAAATGCGCGTTGGATATTCGCGCAAAATGAAGTGGTTTATATTGTGTGTGGTTGCCGTTCTTGTTTCGTAAGGTATGCCTAATTGTTTTAGTGTGATTCACTGTTTCCGTTGTAGTAAAATCATGTCTGAACTTAAGTAAATAAGGCTAAAACGTCTCCCAGCTCGAAGACAAAATTACAGTTTTCATAGTGTATGTATATAAATAATGTAAAACAACGCAGTCAACGCATATTGCAAGAAAATGTGGAGATATCATATGACTCATTGCGCCTAAAATTGTGCACCTGCAGACAATTTCCTACAATTTATATGCGCCCTTTGTATTCAAAGACTCGACATTTTGTAATGCGATAATGTATATGTTTGCTTGCAACATGTACCATATCACACATATTTAGTATATGAACACAAAAACACATACAATATCGCATTACAAAATAGTATGTTGAGCCTTTAAGTACATTATTAAGTAGGAAGGATGCGTATAAATACCAGGAACCAGGTCTCGTTAACATCGCATTGCTGTATGAAACCCTACATAGTCTAATGTAAAACAACCGAACAGGCAATCGGGAGACACGGGTTCGATTTCCGTTGGGGAGTTCAGATGTTCTCTGAATACAAAAGCTTGAGGAACAATCTTTATTTAATATATCCAATCTTGCAACATGTACTATATGACACAGACTTAACACACAAACATTTGACATGATTTTGTTTAACAAAATCATGTTTTTGACAATTTCGCCGAAATATACACTCTATATATAAAAACACTTTACATGGTTAAAATGACATTGGTGTGCCACAAACTTTCAAAACAATTTAATTGTCATTCATGTCGTCCCTTGTCTATTATCTCTGTTAAATCATGTTGTTAATAATTATCACTTAGTATGTATTCTGTATAAATATTTAAGGTTACCTGTAAAGGAGTGTTCAGGCTCCACAGAGCTGAACTGTTCAGCTCTGTGGGTATAACATTTCATTTATCTGACAAAGATTGTAAAAAAAATGATAAAAAAAAAATGGACTGGTTAACCTAGAATCAGAAATAACACTATTTAGTTTAACTTAGTATTCTTGGTTATTTTATCTCACTTCCTGCCTTAGTCTGGTTAATGTAACCAGGAATCTGGTCATATTTGACATGCATGCAGGACGTCGTTGCTAAAATAACCAGACTATGTTTGGTGGATAAATAAACAGGGTCCACGAATTATTGATCCACCTAACACAGTATGGTTAATTTATTTATTTATGAACTTTGTCATAAATGACTGGTGATCCCCACAGGGCTTATTGCCCCATTCACATGCAGGGTCCCTTAAACTAAACATTTACATCAATTACAACACATTTTATCTACAAGGCTCGACAAAGGACGACACAAGTGACATTTAACACAGACAGTTTTAAATGACTGTGGTACATTAATGTCATATATAAAAGTTCAGTCATTTCGTGATAATATTTCAACAAGTACATCAATCTCGTTCCCCGAGCCTGCGATCCTCGGGAAGGAACGTGAGGCTCTGGGATAATCCGTTGCCGGAAGCCAGGAATCCTGGCTAAGATTGAACTGCGCATTCCATTTCAACGGCCAATCAGATTCCTCCTTGAAACGGATTATCCCAAAGCCTCACGTTCCTTCCCGAGGATCACAGGCTCGGGGAACGAGATTGCAAGTATATGATTTGAATTGGTCAATTGTGACGTCAGCGTCACGGATGGATATATGATGGCAAGCAATTATATGTTCTAGGAGCTCTATTAAAATAGCTATTTTGAAATGTTAAAGTGGTTACTCTAGGAACGTTAGTTAAGGTGTTTTTGGTTGAATTGTGTCTCGTGACACAACCACTATAGACTTCACAATAATGTTTGGATCATTTAAATTTTGGATAATTTATCTGGTTAATTTATTAAACCCGCAGAAGTCCAGGTTAAATGAACCAGATTACAGTAGGGAAAAGGTTAAAATATATAACCTGGAAATTTAACCAGGGGTCGGTTGTATCAAGGCCGTTTAGCTTAAACGGTGGGTAAGTCAAAATTAAATAACACTCTTATATCTCTCGTGAATCAGTCAACTTAAATATTGTGCACTGAATATGTAGTTGTAAACATTATTGTTTTATTAAGGTTCAAACTTTTTGTTTGGTTGTTGAATGAATCTATAATAGACTTGCTTTCTATTTTGAGCTTAACCACCGTTTAAACTAAACGGGCTTGATACAACCGGCCCCTCAGGAATATTAAGTTAACCCAAATAGGGTTATCATAGAGTGTAATCCTTTTCAATTCTTTATAACTTCAGCCTGCTTGCACATGCAAAGAATCAAGATTTGTAATTAATAACATTATGGTCAAACTTTCGTGAGAACCTCATGCAACTCTTGTGAGTTGTGGTCGGCCATCCATCGTACCGAACGCTTACGTGTCTCGAAAAGGTTATTACATCGAAAAAACACCGGTCAAAAATGCATTAAACATAAATACAGCCTTGCATGCGAAAATATTATCTTGAATGTCAAACTAAATATGGGATTCGAACATTTCACGTATAAAAATTATAATAGGAAATTATAAAAAGCTTAAATGCCACGTTGGACGCCTCTGACTTTATACATCATTGTACAATATAAATCTGTCGATTCTCAGTCACATGTTCACGATTTAAAAAAAATCGGTGACCGTTATCCCCAGTCTTTAATCGATAAGTCGAACTTTACGCCTTAGTAATTCTTACTTTGATTGGTTTATTGTTTCCTTTGTTATTAGGAAATGGTCAAAGCACAATAACACAGACGAATGTGATTTCAATAACCACAGCACCAACACCCGCAGTACCACTAGGAACAAGCACAGCACCATCACCTGCAGTACCACTAGGAACAAGCACAGCACCATCACCCGCAGTACCACCAGGAACAAGCACAGCACCATCACCCGCAGTACCACTAGGAACAAGCACATCACCATCACCCGCAGTACCACCAGGAACAAGCACAGCACCATCACCCACATTACCACCAAGAACAAACACATCACCATCACCCGCAGTACCACTAGGAACAAGCACAGCACCATCATCCGCTGTACAACTAGGAACAAGCACAGCACCAACACCCACAGTACAACTAGGAACACGCACAGCACCATTATCCGCAGTACCACTAGAAACAAGCACAGCACCATCACCTGCAGTACCACTAGGAACAAGCACAGCATCATCACCATCACCAACACCCGTAGTACCACAAGGAACAAGCACAGCACCATCACCCACATTACCACCAAGAACAAACACATCACCATCACCCGCAGTACCACTAGGAACAAGCACAGCACCATCACCATCACCCGCAGTACCACCAGGAACAAGCACAGCACCATCATCTGCAGTACCACCAGGAACAAGCACAGCACCATCACCTGCAGTACCACCAGGAACAAGCACAGCACCATCACCCGCACTACCACCAGGAACAAGCACATCACCATCACCCGCAGTACCACCAGGAACAAGCACAGCACCATCACCCGCAGTACCACTAGGAACAAGGACAGCACCATCACCCGCAGTACAACTAGGAACAAGTACAACACCAACACCCGCAGTATCACCAGGAACAAGCACAGCACAATCACCCGCAGTATCACCAGGAACAAGCACAGCACCATCACCCGCAGTACCACTAGGAACAAGCACAACACCATCATCCGCTGTACAACTAGGAACAAGCACAGCACCAACACCCACAGTACAACTAGGAACACGCACAGCACCATTATCCGCAGTACCACTAGGAACAAGCACAGCACAATCACCTGCAGTACCACTAGGAACAAGCACAGCATCATCACCATCACCAACACCCGTAGTACCACAAGGAACAAGCACAGCACCATCACAAACACCCGTAGTACCACCAGGAACAAGCACAGCGCCATCACAAACACCCGTAGTACCACCAGGAACAAGCACAGCGCCATCACCAACAACAGCACCACCAGGAACAAGCACAGCAGAACCCCCACAAGTTGAATGTAATGTATATGTGATTGTGACAATGGAGTATACATGGTATGACTTTTGTAAAGTTGACGAACATTTCAGAGAAAAAATCGCGGGAATATCGCATGATAAATTAAACGCTACTGACATATTCATTGTGAATGGTGAGAGGAAATGTGCAAACCCAAATAAAACCAAGGAGGGTATTGATGTTTGGTTTCTGGTGCTGGGGTCAGAAGCCATAACCAGACAAATTGGGAATGATTTGAACGATTCCAGACAGTTAAGTAAACTTGGAAGTCATTTTGAGACCAAGGTAATGTTGCTTTGTAAGTTTTGTATGGCGAATACATTCACAGGCATACAAGACGGGAGGTAGCGAGGGAGATTACCCTCCCAAACTTTTAGAAAACCAGAGAAATTCGGGTAATTGACAGGTTATATAAAAAAGTAACGAACACCCGGATGTACTGTACAGGAGAATAGCCCCCCCCCCCAATGTTTTGTGAGTGTAGTTTCGATGAAAAATTGGGGGGGGGGGAGGTCATGGAAAATTGTCAGCAAACAGTGTTGGCTATGTCTTACGTGAATCTATTCATAGAATCTACTGAACTTTGTTGTAATAGTCTATGTGACTATGTCACCTACGGAATTAAAATTGTCAAGTATTCTGAAATCAATATTTGACACTGTTAAAAGGTGGTTTAGTAGGATCTTCAAGTGCCTCCACAATACAAGCAAATTTCAAGGACTAAAATTTCATTTTTCCTGAAGGATCATACCCCCAGATCCTCCTAAGTTGCATCCCCCCCCCAAAAAAAAATCCCTAGCGATGGCACTGTTGAAAGTATCTATTAATGTACACTTAATCATATTCCAAATGCTCGCGCTTCGCGGTCTTGTTCATTTTTTTAAGTTTTAAATGTTTATTTGATATATAGATACTTAAAGTGGCATTTGGTTGTAAAAATGCTCCTAGGTCGCCGAGCTCGTCAAACCATAAGAAAATATGGCTTGCTGTTGGCATCACCTTGGCAATTCTTCTGCCGCTTTTCATCTTAATCGTCTGGGTAAGTAGCAAAGTACTACTTTTAGATATTTAAACACTTGCAGTGAAAACAGTTTGGTTAAAATAACATGGAATATCTCAGATTTATAAATCCGACGTAACTAATTTTGGTTTGCTTCGACCAATTTGTTTTTACAGTGGACATGAAGAGCGCAAGTATGTGCTAAACGAAAACTGGCGAGGCCAGCATAAACTGATTGAAAACGCTTACAACAATCGAGTTCGTTGCTGTGCCCCAATTTTTCATATTCGACTGTTGTTTCTGGTGCCTTCATTTTCAAGTGGTGATGATCAGAAAGCAGCATTCCATGGGCGGTCTTGGAACATTTATTTCTTAACCTGCGCTTATGCCACTGACTGATTAGTTATTATTTGTATCATAATTGAGGATAACTGTAACAAATAATGCATTTTTCGTTATTCACCGTATTTTGAACAAACAAAAGTGAAACCACGTTTGTTGTCGTATTTTCCCGTAATTTTGGAACCCGCTACAGGAATATAGAACAAGATACTGTGAATGATAACAGCTAAAGTAAAGAGAAGCGGAAAGTTTGTATTTTGACTGTAACTAACCCCAAATGTGTTGTTTTTAGTTCAACCAAGAAATGGAAGTATATCTTCACAAGAATATAACATGTATCTTTTCTCAATTTTATAGAAGTGCTATCCTCGAAGTAGGCGGGTGAGACCTGACCACTTCGCCATGGACAACGTTGATGACGAAGGATTTCAAGGTCAAGAAGGAGCTCATACTCTGGTAGGTGGAATGAAGAACATGTTAACCCAACATAACTTGCACTGGGATCAAAATCACAAAACAACAGAACATCTAATTTCATTGGGTTTTAAGTATATAGAGTTTGATTGTTGTTGGAGGCACACGTACTAAAATAGTGGCTGATTTGTCGTGTTTCTATAAACCATGTCTAGATTGACTATATGCTTGATTTACTGACAATAAAATAGGTGAAATATCAAACCTCTTTCAAAAATAGTATTGGCTGTTGCCCTCAGCGTGTAGGGTAAATGCATTTACCTCCATTGGATATGACCTTTAATCTTTGCCAGGCATAATGAACAAAAAATTAAACTACATGCCTAGCTCGACTGTATATTTCTGCTGCATGACAATGGACACATTAAAAATGAATTTTTTTGTGTGTGAATTTTTCAATTTTCCTATCGAATGGTACTCTTCCTAGAACGGGTATTTAACAATTAGGCACTGAAGTGAAGGTGAGTAGTGCAAGCTTCGTAATCAAGTAAAAATATGCTCGTCCGTCACCGGACCACAATGGGAAAACAGCGCAAGGATATCCGCAGTTGAGCAACCAATCAGATTGCGCAACAGGACTACCCACCTAGATATATAGATAGAAAAACTTTATTTAAACACGCTGACCCCGTCAACCGAAGCTGATTTCCACGAGGGGCGTGCAATTAGATAGTCATGTACTATTTAAAACACGAGTAGGAGTGTTTTATCAGATATAAAACGCGAGGCGCAGCCGAGTGTTTTACTATGTCTGATAAAACACGACAACGAGTGTTTTGAATAGCTTAAAATACGACTACAAAAGAATACTAATTAGGATGAACCATTATATAATCATACTAATTCGGATGAACAATTATATAATGCCGCATGCTTTACCAGATATAAAGTCACTCCACGCGCGCGTGACATATTATGGCTGACATGATTTGCCACAAGGTTTATGAATTATTAATGAGTATTTTAAATATAATATAACAATTGTGCTACAATGGGACGCCAGTAGTTTAGTATGTATAGATTGTGTAAAATTGTATCTGAGTGAGTTATGTGACATATAATTTGTTGTTCTGTTAGATCACGTAGATGTATTTATGTTTATATTTATATATTGTAGTTAGTTTCACGTGCACGACCACATCAGCTATGCTGTAAATTTACCATCGTGTTTAAATAAATGCTTTTATTATTATTATTATGTACAAAAGTATACATATGAAGAATTTTAGAAGCTATTTACAAACTTATATAAGATATATAGTATTATATATAACGTAATTAACTAGAGTGATATAGTCTATTTACAAGATATATATTTTACATTAGCTATCAATCAATGTGAGTAGTGATTCTCTTTCGAATGGAAGAGAAGGATTTGCTCTCTCTAATTTCTTTTGGAATGGAACCTCCCGAGTATATGCTAATGTGTTTTAGCTTGACGATGTTATTTTGTTGTTTTTTTGTAATCAAATGCAGTTATCGCAAAAAGCATCGACATTGAAAGATGCACCAGAGCAAGAAAAGCCTTTGAAGAAGACGGAAAATGAAAATGTCTCCCTTGTTCTTAAGAAAGAATCTAAGGATAGCAATAAACAAGGGCCGAGTCATCAGGGGGAGGGAGGAAAGAAGGCGTCACTTGGCGAAGGCGACGATAATGACGATCGATGAATTAATAAAGAATTACCCATTTCATTTTAGGTAAATGTTTCGTGAACAATTGATTTAAAGGTCCATTTCCACTCAAGAAAAATTTCCACGGACAAAAAATATCATTGCTAAAAGTTGAAAATTTTTGACTTCAAAAATTTTCTCCGACGGAAAATTTGTGTCGGCGAATCACATTTAAGAAATTTTCTTTCTGCGGAAAATTTTCCTGAGTGAAAATGGGCCTTCAGGATTGGTTTGTGATTGGCTCAAGATCAAAGAGAAACATATTCATGCACATTGACATGGTTTCGATAAATCGATAACATTAATTGACATAGTTTCAATAGATCGATAACATTAACATGGTTTCGACAAATCGAAAACATTTACATGGTTTCGATGAATCGATAGCATTGACATGGTTTCGATAAATCGATAACAATGACATTGTTTCTATAAATCGAAAACATTGATATTGTTTCAATAATTTAATTGAAGTCATTTTCTATAATAGCCTTGTCTAGGGAGCGGATCCCCCCCCCCCAAAAAAAAAATGTAATGTATATTAATGGTCAAAGCGGATTATTGGTTCAATTATGATTGGTAAATCTACATTTTTTCGATGATTAGTTTGTAACGCATATATAGTATTACAAAACAAACATATTTACTTGTGTCGAGGAAACGGTTTAGTTTTCTTTTTATTAAAGGATTATATAGTGACAGGACTTAAATGGACTTTGTTATGTTCTCATGCATGCAGATGACTCATGTGAATTTCCTCTACATAATTTGTTCATGTGTGAATGGACCTATTCCCTAATGAACAAAATTTTGTTGCAGACAAGTCTAGACAAAAATGTTATCACAGAATTAGTAATATTCCGAAGTTTCGTTGTAAAATGTTGTAAAATGCGGATAATATAGCCTTGCGAAGTTTGCCGTTTTTCAGTCATTTTCTATTACGCACGGGAAATTATACCTTTTTTCAGAAAGCGGTATCAATTTCCTGTGCGTATTATACAAAATGACTGAAAAACGGCAAACTTCGCAAGGTTATATTATCTGCATTTTACAACATATTTCGCAACGAAACTTCGGAATATTACTAATTTTGTAATGCTCTTTCAAGCAGTGATGAAATTTTTGTCTAGACTTGTCTAGATCAAAATTTTGTTCATTAGGGAATAGGTCCATTGCTTCTGTCTAATATTTTCATCAGTAAACAGTATTATTAATAAGCGACACTGGCGAGTTTTCCAAAGACTTCGAATTGTTTGGTCGTCTTTGAAAAACTCACCCGTTCATGGCTAAATTGCACTGGAAACTATACTATTACCTATAAAATCATACTAAACAAAGTTTTTTATTGTTATTTTTGGCTTCTTAATTACTTTCACAAAACAATATAACAAAATCCTGACATTAATCCTTTAGCTCTAACGGTAAAAAACTTCCTCGAAAATTGAAATGATTATTCCCTTAACTCAGGTCTTTATATCACGATTTACTTTCTTTTTAGAGATCAGTGGGTATGCAGCTGTTAGATGTGCACTATACCTGATCATAGAGAGAGTTGTAAAAATTAGTATATTTTGTACCCACAGCTTTCTAGTAAAACGTAGTAAGGTGGGAACTGTAATAAGGTATTAGTTTAGCATTACTGAGAGTGTAAGTAATGTAGTAATGGAGTGTAAGTAATGTAGAGTGTAGAATAAGTAAAAAACTGTTATTAAATAAACTTAATTTCTATTATGTTGTGTTCCATTCTCCTTTTTATCCTAAATATATGTCATAAGTTTAATAGTGAATTATCAAAAATTATAATTCCTTTTGCTTTCACTTTTTTACTTCCAAGAATCGGTGTCGTATTACATGTCCGTTACAGCACATGTGATTTAGGTTTGAATAATTAAACAGCTCGCTGTTCGCAAAATTCCGTTAAAAGCTTTATCGAGTGATTCTTAACTCAGACTTTTAAGATCGGCGAAAACTATTACGGGTGAGTAAACCTTTTAATATTTACCTTTTAATATTTACATTTTAAATCTTGAGATTACACTGTAAAACTTTGCAGTCTAATCTAGTTGAAGGCCAAGTTTCTGTACATTGCACATGGGCATCTCGTTATGTACTCATGACCCCCATCAAACAGGAATGCGAGTTGAATAAGTTGATGAGAGTTGGCAGTCACACATTGTTAGGGAGGACATTTCAAGCTCTGGATTAACAAAATAATGGTTTGATGAGTGTTCCAACTATACGTTTAACTTAAATAACATACACATGCATATAATAGTGTTGGGAAGGAAAGGTCGCGTGGTTTCCAACTCTCGTGCATTCTCGTCATCGTTTGATCAGCGCTTTACTCTTAGCAGACGTTCAATGTTCGTTAGTTGACTTAATGTTGTATAGTCTTATTATTATCCGTTCCATTAAATCCACCCTCACAGAGTTATTTCTAACATTCCCTTTCAGGATAGCGGCGAGGAAACACAAAAGCAAAGTGGTCTTTAAGAGTCAACTGAAATTTTGCAAATTTCAAATTTTTTTGAGCAACTGAGATTTTGCAGGGATACTAAAATGCGCGTTGGATATTCGCGCAAAACGAAGTGGTCTATATTGTGTGTGGTTGCCGTTCTTGTTTCGCAAGGTATGCCTAATTAATTTCAGTAAATAAACGGTAGAACATTATAAACTTAGCCTACTGACTATATATAATCGACAGTCTCCCAGCTGGAAGACCAAATTACAGTTTTCATATTGTATATGTATATAAATAATGAAAAACAGCGCATATTGGAAGAAAAAGTGGAGATATCATATAACTCCATTGCGCCTAAAAGTGCGCAGACAATTTCCTACAATTTATATGCATCCTTTGTATTCAAACTATTGTAATGCGATATTGTATGTGTTTGCTTGCAACATGTATTATATCACATAGATTTAGTATATGAATACACAAACACATACATTATCGCATTACAAGATAGTATGTTGAACATTTAATTAAGTACATTAAATTAAGTAGAAAGGATGCGTATAAAATACCAGGAACCAGGTCTCGTTAACATCGCATTGCTGTATGAAACCCTATATAGTCTAATGTAAAGCAACCGAACAGGCAATCGGGAGACACAGGTTCGATTTCCGTTGACGAGTTAAAATAACCTGGAAGTTAACCCAAATATAGGGTTATGATGGAATGTAATCCTTTTCAATTCTTTATAAATTCAGCCTGCTTGCATGCACATGCAAAGACAGGTTTAGTAAACATCAAGATTTCCTCAGGGGTCTATCCTAGGTCCCCTACTGTTCCTAATATATATAAACGATCTACCTAATAGTGAATTGGTATCAGATGGGCGTGTATTCCCTGATGAAACCAATTTGACATTTGCGGACATCGACCCAGACAAGTTAATCTCTGTTCTAAATGATGATCTTAAAACTCTCCAAAACTGGCTTAACTTGAATAAACAAAGTCTAAATGCAATTAAAACTAAATGTATGCTTATTGTAGGTATGTCGGCGGGCTATTGTCGTTACAGCAGTTCAACCAAATCATTTACAAAAGAACGTATGCATCAACAGCTGTTTTACAATAATAGCGCAGGCATACCGCAGGCATATGTGAACCAGGCTAAAATAAAGTGCTTATAGCTCATATTTTACTTCGCTTGAATATAATTCTTCGCCAAATTGCCTTTCTTTTGAATTTACTGATGCGAAGTCGTTTATCATAAGAACTGAATACCGAACAACATGGAGCAAAACTTGCATCCATGCAAGGACGTCAAATTAAAGCCACGTTACTTCGAAAACTAGAGTTGAGGACAATGTTTTTAATGCACGATCAATGATAAAAAATATTACATGCACATGCGTCAATTAAAAACAATGCACATACCATTATATCTACAGTATAGTGTACTATGCTTTTTGACAGGCAAAAGTACATTTAATTAACCCATGAAATAGCATACAAAGCATTGTTCTTTTAAAACGCCATACTATAGTTATAGTTGGCAGTTGCCGGACCTGTTGATGCCATGTCTCCGTGTCAATTACATTATAGTCAAATCATATTAAAACAAAAAGTCAACAGACTAAACCCTGTTGATTCGCTTTTAACGCTTGAAATGAACGCCTTCACGCGTGCAATTACGATGTTGATTTTACTGCTAATTAGTGCTAAATGAGATAAGAAAAGAGAAAACAAGATAAGGCGAATCGAAGAACACAAAACACAGAAATATCGCTTTGTAAGCGTTATAAATTTGTTTGTAATAAGCAAATTCAGTATATATATATATATATATATATATATATATATATATATATATATATATATATATATATATATATATATATATATATATATATATATATATATATATATATATATATACACATATATACGGTACCGTTTCGGACAGTGTAGTGCTGATGAGCAGGATGAAAGTAACTGCTATTTACAGTTACCTTTGATACCTCACGATTGTTGGACATCAAAACCATGCCAGAGCGCTCAAACTGCAAGCAGTGAGCGTGCGCAATGCGTAAGCGGCATGGCTCATCCTGTAGAGCGCTCAATATATATATATATATATATATATATATATATATATATATATATATATATATATATATATATATATATATATATATATATATATATATATATGTCCAGCCAGAAATCAACAGACCCAATGAATACAAAATACACCAACACAACCGCATCGTTACCCGCTTATATAAACGGACTAATGAGATTCCCCGTATTTATAGCATCATGCATGCAAAGCATTCTGGTCGGTTAAGAGCAGTGCATTCCGGTCGGAGAAACGGAAGTAAAATCTTACTTTCAGCGCCCAATACGTATTAGAACTGCTGATTTGCTCGCTCGCAGCGTCAGCAATTATAATGTTTGGGATTTCAAAATGTGGCCGTTGGTCGTATTAATGGGTGGTCGACCGTATTGACAGGTCAAGGGTATTTTTATAAGAAAATGTGAGGCCGTTTTGCCGGGCAAAAAAGTGGCCGTAATAACGAGGTGGCCGTAAGTGTATTACTATTCGGCGGTATGGACCTATTACCTATATAAATGAACAAAATTTTGATCTAGACAAGTCCAGACACAAATTTCACCACAGCTTGAAGGAGCATCACAAAATTAGTAATATTGCGAAGTTTCGTTGCAAAATGTTGTAAAATGCAGATAATATAGCCCTGCGAGGTTCGCCGTTTTTCAGTCATTTTGTATTACGCACGGAAAATTGAAACCGCTTTCTGAAAAAAGGTATACTATACAAGGCGTAATACAAAATAACTGAAAAACAGAAAATTTCGCATGGCTATATTATCCACATTTTACAACATTTCGCAACGAAACTTCGGAATATTACTAATTTTGTGATGCTCCTTCAACTAATAATAGGCCGTAGGATGAAGGCCTAAATTGTGCCGTTTCATTACAGCCTCCGAGGGAGATAATAATTTTTACATAGATAGAAAGAGAAGGTTTTACTTACTTAGAATCCACTTCCCCCCAAGCGAAATAGTTGCACAAATGAGAATAAATCGCCTCCAAAGTGCACGCTCCCTCATGCTTTCAAATTCACGAGCGGCCATTGTTTTCGTTGCCAGCGCGCATGCGTACAAAGGAAAACATTCAATGCGCACGCGCAGTTGGGGAAAACTGATCTTACACGTAACTGGACACGAAAAACTGCTTAAAAAAAGCCCTAAATAAGAAAAGGTGAAATCGGCAGCGTTTTGAAAAATAGCAGGTCTTCATGGTTTGTACATTTGAATGATACACAAATATTTAGAGCTATTTAGAGTTATATAGTGTATACCCTCCCGAGAACATTATATTACAAATCAAAGACTAACATTTCAAGAATAATGTAATAAGATATAGGATGATATATACACTACACGATGCTCGCAATCATATTTTAAAACAAGTATACACAACTACCAAAAATAATAAAATGCTCAGATAACTGTTAATAATGTTCAATTATTTTTTACAATTATTTTTACAATTACTTTTTTACTTTGTCAACTTCTTACAATTAATCATATCACAAAACTGTTAAAAGGTCTTGAGAAAACAAAACAATATATTAAAGTAATTAAACCGCGCTGACTAGAACTTTGTGATGTGTTGCTTATCGTGAAAACTGTAACGCGCATTTCTCCATGCAGATTCATCTTTAGTTTACCAAGTATCAGGAACGCCTTTTCGCCAGTCCACTATCCACCATGGAGACTTCTTACTTCCAAGACAACCATACTCATAAAAAAGGGAAAGTTTGAAAAAAACCCAGCTTAACACGATGTATGACTATGAGATTGTATTATTATGCTTTTATATGCCGAGATGTTAAAATGACTGTTTCGCCCCATATCAGGGCTCATCAGCATGTCTAGAGAACAGATAATACCACAAGTCATGACAAACTGATTCGGAACATGGACAGCCTTACCATACTTCCCTTACCATGGGAAGACTGTCGAGCAATTTGGTTTTAAGGCGCCAAACACTCGCCTTCATCGCTTTTCCATTCGGAAAAAAGGGTGTGGTTAGAAATGGTGACAACTTGGGACATTTCATGGATGTGAAATTGCTCAATGTTTCACACCATCCCAGCCATTTCTAACCCATTAAAGTCCCCCCCCCCTACTCGACAAGTAGAGATAAGCTCTACGTAAAACACTGATAGCCATACAGTGAATAACCTTTTTAGGGTTAGGGTTGGAATTAGTATTAGAGTAGGGCAGGTGTATCAGACTAAAGGTGATTCACTGTATGGCCATTAGTGCTTTCCAAGCTTTACTTGGGCTGGCTGGGAATCGAACCCGCGACATTCGGTTGCCAGTTTGATGATCTACCAACTGAGGTACAGGTCAAGTTGGGAACTAGTTAGTCGAAAGGTGGTTTGTGTTTGATATTTCGAAACAGGTACTATAATATCTTCAATATCGAGACATCTGCCTTTATACATGTACATAGATCAATTGATTTACCTATCTACATGTATAAAGACAGATGTCTCGATAATGAAGATAAAAGAAACTAGTACCTAGTAACAAAAAACTAACTAGTATCAAAGTCTTCATCATCATGTATAGATTTATTTAACATATGTTCCCCAACAAAATCAGATGGACGCAAGTTCTCAGCATAAACAATCTCGCCAACAGTTCTATACTTTTGCATCAAGAAAACAAGTTGAGGGTAACTATTGATTAGTCGTTGCTTGAGGCTGAAAGCCCAATGACAATAAATTTACTCAGTAACTCCTTCATATACTTTATTGCTTTTCCTTTGATGACTTCCAACTCAATGACATCTTTGCAGAATACTTTGTATGACTTTTCATAGATTGGTGCACATGTGTTTGTCTCTTTTACTGGCTTTGTTATGAATTTGGTGTAGTTATTATAGCAAATTCCATGATAGCGGACCTCCAATCTCTTGAAGAAAAAGAATCTATCCAGTATCTTGAGGCAATCCTAGATAGTAACCTCAAATCGAAAGAACAGGTGAATTATTTAATGAAAACGATTTTAAAAAATTAGGCCTCGAAGAAATCTCAGGTTACAGCGATTGTCTTCTCGAATACAGCCCGTTGCCCATTCTTGAATCCATAAGTCGAACTTTACGCCTTAATAATACTTACTATAATTGGTTTATTGTTTCCTTTCTCGTTAGGGAATGGTCAAAGCACAACAACACAGGCTAATCAAGGAACAAGCACAGCACCGTCACCCGCGGTACCACCAGGAGCAAGCACAGCACCATCACCATCACCCGCAGTACCACTAGGAACAAGCACATCACCATCACCAAAACCTGCAGTACCACTAGGAACAAGCACATCACCATCACCTGCAGTACCACTAGGAACAAGCACAGCACTATCACCAACACCTGCAGTACCACTAGGAACAAGCACATCACCATCACCTGCACTACCACCAGGAACAAGCACATCACCATCACCTGCAGTACCACTAGGAACAAACACAGCACCAACACCTGCAGTACCACTAGGAACAAGCACATCACCATCACCTGCACTACCACCAGGAACAAGCACATCACCATCACCTGCAGTACCACTAGGAACAAGCACATCACCAACACCTGCAGTACCATTAGGAACAAGCACAGTACCATCACCTGCAGTACCACTAGGAACAAGCACAGCACCATCACCCACAGTACCACCAGGAACAAGCACAGCACCATCACCCGCGGTACCACCAGGAGCAAGCACAGCACCATCACCAACACCCGCAATACCACCAGGAACAAGCACAGCACCATCACCAACACCAACACGCGCAGTACCACCAGGAACAAGCACAGCACTATCACCAACAACTGCAGTGCCACCGGGAACAAGCACAGCAGCACCACCAACAACTGCAGTACCACCAGGAACAAGTATAGCACCATCGCCATCACCTGTAGTACCACCAGCAACAAGCACAGCACCAGCACCAACAACTGCAGCACCACCAGCAACAAGCACAACACCATCACCAACTAAACAACCCCCACAAGCTGAATTTGATGTATATGTGATTGTGACAATGGAGTACACATGGTATGAATTTTGTAAAGTTGAGAAAGATTTCAGAGAAGAGATCGCTGAAATATCGCATGATCTGAAAGGCAGACAATTAAACGCTAGTGACATACTCATTGTGAATGGCGAGAAGAATTGTGCCAACCCAAATAAAACCAAGGAGGGTATTGACGTTTGGTTTGTGGCGCTGGGATCAGATGCAGATAAAGTAACTATACAAATTGGGAATGATTTGAAGAATTTGCTCGATTCCAGGCAGTTGGGAAAACTTGGAAATCGATTTGAGACCAAGGTAATGTTGTGTTGTAAGTTTTTTATTGTATGATTGTATGGCGAAAACATTCACAGGTGTACGAGACGGGGGTAGGGAGGGGAATACCCTCCCAAATTTTAGAAAACCAGAGAAATTTGGGTAAATAACAGGTTATATCAAAAAGTGAACCCCCGGAAATGACCGGCCCCGTAACGAATACACTGATGACAGGCGAATAGTTTACCATTCCATTCGCAAGCCGCCCCGTCCCCCAATGTTTTTGCGAGTGTAGTTCCGATGAAAAATTGGGGGAGGGGGCATGGAAAATTGTCAGCAAACAGTGTTGCCTATCTTACGCGAATCTACTCATAGAATCTACTGAACTTTGTTGTAATAGTCTATGTGACTACGTCTCCGGCGGATTTAAATTGTCAAGTATTCTGAAATCAATATTTAACACTGTTAAAAGGTGGTTTAGTGAGACCTTTACATTTTTATTCAAGTCCCTCCACAATGCAAGCAATGCCCTTTCAGACACCAAAATTTCATTTTTCCCTGGAAGAGCACACCCCCAGATGCTTCTAGAATTGTGACCCACACATTATTAAGTTGCACCCCCCCCCCCCCACACTCCCAAATAAATTAGCTATTCCGAAGCCCCGCACAACTTTTGAAGAATAGTTTTAGCTATAGGGGTGCTGTGGAATAATCTTCCCACTGGGTTGCGACAAACGAACAACCTAAATTATGTTAAAGCAGGCTGCATTGACTTTTTCACGGATTAAATTATATTATTATACACGGCACTCTTGGAAAGCAGGTTTTGTCTTGTATAATTAGTTAATATCAGTGATGGGTTGTGAATATTTTTAATGTGTATATGCGTAGCAGTTGAATGTAAGTCCTGAAGACCATTCACCGTGTTTAAATAAAGTTATCCTTATCAATGAACACTTAATCATATTCCAAATGCTCGCGCTTCGCGATCTTGTACGTTTTTTAAGTTTTATTAAATGTTTATTTGATATATAGATACTTAAAGTGGCATTTGGTGGTAAAAATGCTCCTCGGTCGTCGAGCTCGTCAAACAATAAGAAAATATGGCTTGCTGTTGGTATCACCTTGGCAATTCTTCTTCCGCTTTTCATCTTAATCTTGTGGGTAAGTAGCAAAGTACTACATTTAGATATTTAAACACTGCTTGTTAGACAATTTGGTTAGAATAACATGAAATGTCTTAGATTTATAAATTTGAGGTAACCAATTTTTGGGTTGCTTTAACCAATTTGTTTTTACAGTAGACACGAAGAGCGCAAGGGGGAAATCAGTTGCTGACCATAATTTTTATGTGCTAAACGAAAAGTGCATGGTGAGGCCAGCATAAACTGATTGAAAATTCCTACAACAACCGTATTTTCAACACATGGAAGTTAAAAAAAACTTAACTACTTTTGTATAGTCGTGTTTTCCCGTAATTTTGGAACCCGTTACAGGAATATAGAACAAAATATTGTGAATAAGTTTTTAGACGTTCTCTGCATGGTTTTTAAATATTTATTATTACGAGCTTTCGACTGCCACAATTGATTACAATCCAGATTGGCAGTCGAAAGCTCGTAATAATAAATACTTAAAAAAAGAGAAGGCCTAAAAAGTAAAAATTTATTATGAATAATCCTGGTTTCGCTTCAAACATATTTAAAAATATTGTGAATGGTAACGGTAAAACTAAAGAGAAGCGGAAGTGGGAAGGTTTTTGTATTTTGACTGTAACTTTGACTAACCACAAATAGTGTTGTTTTTAGTTCAACCAAGAAATGAAAGTTTATCTATACACAAGATTGCAAAACGTATCTTTTCTTAATTTTATAGAAGTGCTATCCTCGCAGTAGGCGGGTGAAGATTGACGTGGAACAAAAACCTAACCACTTCGCCATGGACAACGTTGATGACGAAGGATTTGATGTTCAAGAAGAAGCGCATATTCTGGTAGGTAGAATGAAGAACATGTTTATTTATTTATTTAGCTTTGCCAACTAGGGCAGGGTCACCACAACAGCATATGCCAATTACTGTGGGCCCTTTTTTACCTAACCCACCCTGTCAACTTTCCCTGTGGG